GCAAGGTGTCGTCTCAGTTCCGCAGGGAACCTGCTTCCTTTTGACAGAGGAAGCCGCCAGACCCCTCCAGGAAGAAAAAGAAGAACAGCAGCAGCAATAGCCAACGCAGGCTGATGTTGCAATTTTTGTTATCGTCGAGGCGTGGGAACACAAGTGATTGGTGAAGGAAGAAAGAGGAGACCAGCAGAGTTTCAGCATGCCACTAAGGGCCATCCTGCCTGGTTCTTTACTTCCAGCGCCCGCCAACCTTGCCCTTGGCTCCTGCCTTCTTGCTGCTACAATACAAAAGGAAAGAAAAATATATGAGCCTGATGGAAGCTGTGGGGCTCTGTGACCGCTGCACATTTCTGACTCTCAGATTAGGATCAAACTGCTTTCACTTCTAACATGTTGGGCACACCTGCCATAGAGCACATCCTGAGAAAAACATTGTTGATATTGTGGAAGGAGATTCCTCCTCAGGCTCTTAATGAAAGACCAGACTATGCATGCCTGGAAGATGGGGGCCCTTCCAGATTTCTGTATTATCAGGACAGATGTCCAGGTGGTCTCAAAACTAAGTGACGGGCCTGTCCAGCCACAGACTTGATGCTTTCTGAATTCAAATCTGCTATGGTCTTGGATTTTAGGATTTAGAGCTGTTTCTGGAGAAATTTTCCTCATTATCAGGGAGCTCTGGTCAAATTTCCCAGGTGCTCTAATCATCTAGTAGTGGAGGCAAAAAGCTGAGCAATGATTTAAATACAACTAAGAACTGCTTTGCTGTAGCAAAGGTAGAGTGGCTTCTTCCTTATATCATGAGAGTAAGAGCCTCCAAAACCATCCAAATAACTTTTTAGGCCTCCCCTTGTATCAGCATTGCTGTCTTGTTCATGGTGTGTGTGGAGCAGTCCAGCTACACTCCCCACACAAAGCACCTGAGGCAAACTCTCTCCAAACAGTATTTTCTTGCACACAGAAGGTCAATCCTACATGCAAGCCACTTACCTTCTGACTGAGGAGCAGGCACGCCTGGAGTCAGACAGGGCCCAGGCGTGAAGTTAGTTGAGTTAGACTGTGCACTGGCTCCCGTAGGCATCACCTTGGCTTTTGGGGCTCAGCACACCACCAGACCTTTCCATCTCACACACATGATGGTGAGGCTGCTTCTTGAACCAAAGCACATGCAAACCGGGGGCAGCTCTTTGACATGGCAGAGCACGGGGTCGGGGGCCAAGCAGAACGTGGTGGGGCCTTGCTATCAACAGAGAGGCCTTCTTCAGAACCACCGGTTCCTCCAGGGAGCAGAAAAAAATGTGGATGACACATCTGGGGAGATTTTTGTGGTGCTGCCCCATGGATTGGTTCAAGAGCACTAACCATATTTACAGAATTATATAGCACAGTGACACAGACGTACACATAGTGGATACTTTACCTTTTGACCAAGTTAGACTTGGTCTGTTTGAAAAATTGACCTTTCGCATGAGAGAGAGCAGTGTTTTCTGCTTGTCTTAAATTCGTCTCAGTGTCCCTTTTGCCAGCCTTTCTGCAGGTTCAAAACCCAGTATAGGAACTGTGTAGCTCCTCAAAGGAAGGCAGCGCCCTTTTACCTCCACAAGCGCCTGTGATGTTTAATGTTATGCTTAACCTTTAAAGTGTGTGTAAGGAGGCTTAATAAAGTCTGAAGCGAAAGGATCACCTGATCCTTGTATAACACATTAGCAGACGTTGCTTTAGGATCATACAGTCTAGTGTGGATAGAAATTTTAAGTACACAGAAACCTCATGATCTGTGGGTTTCCGAGTGCAAGAGTGCAACCTTTTCAAATGGTGTCTTGAGAGACGATCATGTCTTTTGGGGGAACAAGCATGTCGTGATGGTACAGCCTGTTGTGGGTGGTGTGGTAGTGCCCCTCAGAAGAGCAGCAACACCCAGACAACCCATGGCATCTTTCTGCAGCTGCACATTCTGCTAAGGTTTATCAGCCTACAGCTTTGTACAGAAAATACCACGGGAAGGTCAAGCCTTCCGTTTGACATCTACAGACAACTGAGCCTGCAGTGTTACATTCATCTGATAAGACAGGGTGGCTTGGGGAAGTGGGAAAGCAGTGTCTGGTGACTCGTATCATTCAAAGATGTCACCAAAGGCCACCACTTCATTCCCGGCATCACTTTGCTAAGAAGATACAGAAGCACAGTGAAGATTAAACCCCACCGCGCAGAGCTCTCCTCCCTTGATTCTGTGTAGTTTCTTCTCTGCCTCTGTCAGTTTTCTACATGCCATAGGCCCTAGGCTTTGCCTAGTCCTGGTCTCTCTTAAGGTCACTGTAAACACCTAGAATAGTTAAAGATATAAGACTCAAAAAATCTAATAAAATAGAAGTCTTGTGGGGAAGGAAAGTGGGAGAGAGATGATGAGTGGAAAGAACTCACAACAGTAATCCCATGATGTTAGTCTTGTTACACACCGTTCCTTATAATCTTAGCAACCACTTGTTTACCCTTCATAAACAAGGGTTGTATTCCCTCAAGTATTCAAAGCACCTCAGTCAGGTGTTTGAAAACCCCAGCAATAAGCAGATGGAAATTTTGCAGACATGATATGAAGACACATGATTTTTTCTTGTTAGCTGTTACGTTCACTTCAGTTTCCCC